TGGTAGTCGACATATTAAAACATCTCTTATTAAGAGTATTAAATTATGCTCAGACGAACCAGTTACCTTATTGCGTGTTTTGATCATTCTTTCTGGTTTATTGATTAAAAAATCAAATCAATCTTGGACTGAGAAGAGTGGATTATCCTTGTGGGTTTGTTCACTAACTGGCTCATATTAAAGCAATCCATCGTACGTTTTAGGGATCTTCTTCCAGACTTATCCTCCCAATCTACATAATAATCACCCATTAATATAACCTCTTTGTCAACGTCACATTCCTTTAACATGGAATTAAGATGATTATAAAATTCACATTTGGACGACGGCGGTCTGTAGAGACAGATTAGAGTCAAATGCATTTGAGATGATAGGGACACTCAGAACAATACATTCCAATTGGACATCAGTAGACCACTTAATGTGGCTGCAATTAAGTTGTTCTTTAATATAAAACATTACTCCTCCTTCTTTACCAGTAGATCCATCCCTTCTAAACATATTGTATCCACGCACACACAAAGCAGCAGGGGGCGAGTTTATATGCAGCCACGTTTCTGAGGGACGCAGAAGGTCCAGGTTTGAATCCACAACAAGATGTTTTATTCGATCCATTTTAAGACTTTGAATATTCAAATGCCCTCCTAACAGTCCTGTAGGTCTTGCATGTGTATCCCACAGCACACGGGCGTGATGGATATTCACATTGAACATGTGGGCCGACAGTGAAAGAGGAAATCACCTTTCCATTGAATTGCACTTCTTAAGATAACAACAGTATTGACTCGGCTCATCAAAAACAAAACTATAGACACAGTGAACAACAGACGGGAATACCTTCACCAAGAGCGGATAAACAACATTAACCTAAAAGCCACATCAATAAGTAGAATGGAAGCTATGGGAATACCAAGGGGGGGGTGTCTAATGAGAGGAGCAGGATCTGGAAGACGCAACATTTCCCCTGCTGGCGCTGAGAGGTTTGAACCCGCGTGGCGCCGAGGAGGAGAGCCCTCCTGTCGACAACATGAGCGGCGCCACAGGGAACCGTGAGCAGTGATGCATGCATGTGATACTTGATAGAACCACTGATGTTGACCGAGAGACATTCGCAATCCGAGTTACAGTGAGCGCACCATCCAGTGTAATACCTCATTGCACCACCATGTTCTCTGAATAACGACTCGCCTTGAACACACCAGGGGTCACATGTCCAGGAGCGTGGACACTAACTTCCACACCTCTACTGAACTGCATAAATACCTGTAGGCAGCCATTGTTCTAGGAGTTCGTTGGTGGAAGCAAGGCACAGTCACTGGGTGGCCAACGGGCCGCTCTGTGGCCTGATTGCAGAAACCAGCGGCTCCTCAGCTGAGATGTTCTTCTCAGTTTTCTTCTCAACATTACCATCGATGGACATTATGTAAATTTCTTTTTGCAAATACTGCTACTTTTAAAAGATGATAAATGAAACCAGAAAAACTTGACGTCATCAGCTTATTCCGTACTGCATCAACCTCCCAACACCTGCGCCATGTTTCCAGCGCTGTGCCCCCAAAGGAGATGTGCTTCAGTAGTATTTGGAGGTGGAATCTAAGATGGACGTCCATGGGTCGCTCCTCTGCTTCCAGGAGGATGTAAAGTCAGCGGGCAGCTTCTTCAAGACTGTCAAACACTGTTTGGTCAACTTCCACATCCTCGTGGACATTGAGTTGAGCCAAGTCCTCTGTCCCTTTATCAGCCCAAACTGAAGGATGTCCTTCTGAACGCCGTTCTCTGCATCGTTTGCTAACAATCACAATTGATTTGAAACCGTTTGTAAAAACAATCCCACGTTTCCCAAATGCAAACGACAACTTCAACGATGTGTGCGACTAAGACAGAAGTAGTCGACCAGGAGCGATCACACTCCTGTGACATGTAACGATAAAAAGAAAGAGTATGATGATTTAACAGTCACCCTCAATATGCTTTTATTTTGAAGAGGACTTTATTGATCAGCTGGTGGCTTTTCTCTGGCTCCTTATTGGACGGTGGAGTTTTGACAGATTGTTGCTCCCAGCATGCAGATGAAGATCAGCTGGCTCTCAGATCAGATCTCACTACTGTTCACCGTGTGACGACTTCCTGTGAGGACCTGAGTTTGTTTGTCCTGCAGCTCCCCGACCTGAAGGACGCTGAGGCGGTGCAGAAGTTCTTCCTGGAGGAGATCCAGCTGGGGGAGGAGCTTCTGGCTCAGGGTAACAACACCTTCACAGTTTGAGTCTATTGTTTCTAGTTGTTATTCCAAGGAGAACGTAGACGGCTTTCATAGGAACTTACTGAAAATGAGGAGCGACTTTCTGTGAGACGTCACCACTGTAAGAAGCCCATTGAGGACATACGTCTTCACCTCGCGTCCTTGTGCTCCTCAGGAGACTACGAGAAAGGCGTGGACCACCTGACCAACGCCATCGCCGTGTGTGGTAAGCCTCAGCAGCAGACTCTGCCTCCACCCGTCTTCTAGATGCTCCTCACCAAACTGCCCAGCATCAGGCAGGTAGGGGGACACGTCTCTTTGTCCTTCCTTTGGACCTTACCGGTCCTTCTGTCCTCCACGCAGAAAGAACACGAGAAAAAATGTTGTCTTGTGAGGTGATCTTGTATCTAAAGGAGGTCACGCCTCCTCCACGTGGTCCAGTCGCTGTGCACGTGTCATCAAGGAGACAAACAGGTATGACGTCATAAACTCATGAAGCTGCTTCATGAATAACAGCCTGTGCAGCTCCAACAACTACAGCTCAGCTGCTAAACTCTTGTTACATCATTTAAGTTCATGGTTTTGCTCTCCGGCACCAAATAAATACTTTGTTACTACAGCAGGAAAACTGTGGATCAACGTTTGTGTATAATTACAGTTGTATTTGGTTATTATTCTGCTGCTGGTTCTCAGTCGAGTGGATTCTCCTCAGTATCTGAAGCCACTGAACAGTTTCATCAACCTCGTGTATTAACTCACGTTAGAATTGATCTTTCTGTGGAACTCGTGTCGTTCACACTGACGAATTGTCACGTGATCAATAAACAGAGAACTCGGACATGTTTCCTGCATTAAACAAGACGTTTTTAATGAACATGAATATAAATATAACTTGTGTAAACCGTCATTTCTGTTCAGTGTTCAGTTCAAGTTATTTATGAGGCAAAAGTAACAAGAGATTGTTCAAGAGATGTATGTTTCCTTTTTTTCAACAATCACTCATCTTTATTTTTAAGTCTTATTACAAATATTCACAAAACAAATCAAAATGAGCCAAAGTGACTTTAAATAATTCAAACCACTTTTCTCACCAAAAGAACATTTGCATCTATATTATTAATTCACTTTTATGCACAATAACAACAACACAAAGTGTATTCTGTGAACATGATGGAAAGGTCAGAGGCGTTTATGAGAATATTAAATATTCAACAATATGTTTTCAGAGGCTTCACATCAGATATAATTTGTTTTGCTGATTTACTCAAAGTCAAACTTCAGCTTTGGATATTTAGTGAGAATAAAACAGTCTGGATTGAAAAGGTTGAAATAGATATTCTCCATAAGGCGTCATGATACAGAAATAAAGAGAAAAAACATACAGTATTTATATAAAATATGTACATTTATTCCCTTTAATGAATAAAATCATCACATGAAATCAGAGAATGATTAATTTACTCCGACAGGAGAGATGATCAGAGGAGCAGAAGTTCTACCATCGTAATTATAACCCAGGACTGAAGAACGGGAGAGCTTCTCAGTGGAAGGGAGCGGCCAGTGAAGGAGTAGATGAGAGCTGCAGCTTCTACGTCATAAAAGGAGACCACACCCTCCTCATAGTCCACAAACACCCCCACCTTCTGAGGACGAGACTTCACAGAGAGAACAACTGGAGGATCATCAAGAGCAAGGTATTCATTTCCATTTATCAAACATATAATCCAGTAACCATCCTGAGGACTCAGTGAGATGAATCCCTTCCTGTTGACTGACTCTCTGATCACTCCTAAATACCACTCAGTCTTTCCTTCAACCTGAACCTCAAAGTAGAATCTGCCTGAAGAGAAATTCTGATTTGTTAAAACACAGAACCAAATAGAAAATCTCTCTGGGTTGTTTGGGAGATTCTTCTTCACATCACCGTCTTTCACTTGTTTCCCATCGTCAGACAGGATGAGATCAGGATGAGCTGTTTCAGGATCAAGAGTCAGATCCACTGCAAACATCTGGACCCTCTTCAGCTCAGCAAACCACTTCTTCATCTTCTTACTGAGTGTCTCCTCCAGCTGAGACACAGCTCTCACCACAGTCCCCTCATATGAAGGACAAACACTGACCTCTGTCCAGTCCTTGGTGGGTGGTGGCTGATGGATGTTTGAGGACTGGAGAAGATGGAGGTGGTCTTCAGAGAGAGAGAGCTGCTCCACCTCAGCGCTCCTCTTCATCAGCTCAGAGATTTCCTCTTCCAGCTCTCTAATGAAAGCTTCAGCCTGTTTATTTGTGGCTTCCTGCTTCTCTTCTATTGTTTTGAGGAGCTCCTTCAAGCCTCTTCTAACAGACTCCATCAGATTAGTGAAGACCTGAACACCTTCTGCTTTCTCTCTGCCTGCATCTTCCTCACTGAGGTCGACCGAGTGTTTGATCTCCTGAATCTTCACTCTTCTCTTCTGGATCATCTGCTGGATTTCAGCCTCTTTCTTCTTCAGCTCAACCTTCTTTTCTTCATATTCTTCTTCCAGAGGAACATACTCATGGTTCTTGTGGTCTAAAACACTGCAGAGCGCGCAGACACACGTCTGGTCGCTCTTACAGAACAGCTCCAGAGGTTTATCGTGCTTCGTACACATCCTGCCTTCCAGGTTCTCCACAGGGTCCATCAGCTGATGTCTCTTCAGGCGTGAAACTGTCAGATGAGGCTCCAGGTGAGTCTCACAGTAGGAGAACAGACACACCAGGCAGGACTTGAGGGCCTTCACTTTGGTTCCAGTGCAGACGTCACAGGGAACTTCTCCTGGTTTGGACTCTTGTTGCTCTGAGCTGCTGCTGCTGGCTTTCTGCTGAGCAGACTGTCTAAACTGAACAACCATCTCAGAAATGAAGGTGTTGACCCTCAAATCAGGTCTGGTGATGAAGTCCTTCTTACACGTTGGACACAGGTTCTGGTCGCTGGTGTTCCAGTGTTCATTGATGCAGTTCATGCAGAAGTTGTGTCCACATGGTGTGGTGACTGGATCAGTGAACACATCCAGACAGATGGAGCACAGGAACTGATCTTCAGATGGACCATAGTTTGCAGAAGCCATGTCTACACATGTTGTGGAAGAGACGAACAACGTTTTATTTAAAATAGTTTTTATGAATAGTTTTATTTTGAAACCAGTCCAGAATGTGTCCACATGCTGTGAATAAAGAGCAGCACGCTAACAACGCTCTGCTTACTTGGTGACAAACACGTAGCGTCTCATTTAGATGACTCACACTAAAAGCCTCCAGCAGGTTCACTGTGGAACACGTTTAACGTGACGCACCAAGAGGAAACAGAGGAAGGGATCAGGAAACAGAGAGACACTAAAGTTTAAAGCACAGAGATTCAGCTCCAAGTGACTGAAGTCCTGGACAGTTTGAAGCTGTTAGACTGAGTTACTGTATCGTGGGACTGTGGATAAACACACGTGGTTTTATTGTTAACATTCTATCAAGTAGGAAGTGAACAGAGAGGAACTTCCTGCCTGAGTAAAGTACAAGTTGTGTGTTCTTCCTGCTTGTTGAAGGTGTAGATGTGACCAGCTGTACTCACCAGTGTTCTGAAGAGACTCTGCTGTGTTGCTGAGGAACACCTGATGACGTCACTTTGACTTTTCTCTCAGAGAAACACGGAGACTTGTCTTCACTGCAGCGCGTCTGCCTCTCTGACCAACGAACTTTCATTTCTGGAGAGTGACGTCAAAGCTCCGCCCCTCCGTGTAGCTCCGCCTCCTACTGGAGCGTCATCAGCTGGTGAGGTTTGTTTCCTCCTCTGATTCATGCTGACTGCTGGAGTCGTGATGCTTTTTGCCTCCAGTCAGTCACGTGAGCCTCATAATATTTGTCCCTGGTGTCCCTCTCATACGCAGCTCAGAGTCTTCTGAGGACATGAGTCACTTACGTTCGTTTAATTCATCTGAACTCATTAAAAGGTGAAAATGTTATGAAATGCAGTTAAACTGTAGGTGTCACTTGGTGGCTGCAGTGAGGTTTTCATAACTGAACATTTTC